TTTTGTCTGCTTTTTATTCTATTTTGCTTTTTCCTGTTTCATTCTTTTACTTGCTTATTCTATTTACTTTTCAATTATACTTTTTACACACTTTTTTCCTACACTAATATTTCTCTAAATGCGACTATTAAGCACATGTAAAGCCAAAGTAAATTTCACAAGAGCAACACTCGTTCGCTGATCGCTTTCTTCGAGCTACTTAAGAATTCACGCTGCGTCTTCAGATGTCCGTACAGAACTGAAAAGGCATTAATTAAAATAACAACACGAAGTTATTACATTCTACCGGTTGCATCGGTACAACTACAAGAAAACAAACAAAACCTAGATATGTATGTATGTATAAAACCCGTAAAAACAACACACAAAACTGCGCACAACAACAAAATCAACATAAAAACACAGTAAACACTTGAATATGCAAATATTGGCGAATGTCGTTATTTTATCGGCACATTTCAGAGCACTAAATTTTCTGCTTTGATTTGCTTCACTTCGTCTTACTTTGTTTTGCTTACTTTACTGCCAATTCCCTCACCGGCAAGCTGACAGCAAAAAGTGGAGCAGCGTTGGCTTATCCACCTGCCTGCGCTAGTCCTGTGGCGCTGACCGCGTATCCTTGAGTCGTTCGAATTCAAATTTCAAAACATTTCACTTTCTATCGCTGTTTGCTTTTGCACGTTGCGCTTCTTGTGCAAAGCTCCTTTGACAGGAGTTGGTTGCACTGTTTCTAGGCAACACAAACTCACAAACACACTCGTGCGCACTTTCAAATATTTATTTACACTCGCGTTGCCAACTATATTTTCACTTTCAAAGGAGTTTATCTTCAAACTTTTCAAAGAAATAGCGTAAACAACTATTTTAACGCGCGCCTCCTTTGCAAAATTCCGTTAGCTTTTTTTGCTTATTCTGCTTACAAGCGCATTTTAAAACAAAAGCGAAATGCCGTTGGAAATTTTCTCAAAGCTTACTGCAGTGCAAATGTTTTTTTTTTGTTTTCGGTGCGCCCAACGCGTACGACACCTCAACCGCAACTGAACTGATAGCAAGCTGGGCGAGCGCTACTATGGCTAGTTAGCTGGCTGGTGGCATGTGTTTGATGGCACCCCCACCACTTGGCCGGTGGTGGCGCTGTTTCAAGCTTGGCGCACGCCAATCGGCTGCTACTGCCGCCGCCACGGTCACCCAATTTTCTTTAATGTGTGTGTGCTTGTGTGCCAGCCTCGCGCAACAGGTGTGAAAGCAAAAGCACGCTCTAAAGCTTTGCAAGCTCAACACTGGGTGGCGTCAAGTAGACAAGCTTTCTGAAATTTCAAATGTTTGTATGTTTGTGTAATTCGGAGACTTTTGTTTTGATTAATTTGGCAGCATTGGCGTGGCTTTTCATATGATTTTAGTGCTTTTGCGCTTATCAGTTTGATAAGAAAATTGAAAATCCTTTTCAATATTAAAAATTCGCATTAAATTTTCAATGTAAATACCGATTTTTATTGACATTTACGGCTTTCGCAGATTTTACATAACACTCATTTGCTTGCAGGTGGTAGCGGCTGGAGTTGGCTGTAATTGCTATTTTCTTCACTTCAGAATTCAGATAAGCATTAGCCAGTTGACATCCACTCACTCTCTCCTTTCATCTCGTATGTAGCTCTGTACCGACACTCGGTTTGGACCGATACTAAAACCGCTTCGCCAAATTCTTCTCGCCTTTGGAAAACTAAACTCACGCCCGTTGCTCATCCCAAGTCTAGACAAGGTACTTCCGCAATTGGTTCTCCCATTATGTTTATGGGTTTTGAATAAGAGGTCCTTTTCATCTATAAGTACGAAATGTTCAAGCCATCGCAACAGTGGAATCTTACCATGAAGCGCTTTTCAGGTCATTTTAAAGTCCATACATTTCGACATTCCATCTTCTTCGGTACCCGTCGCCTACGCATATAGGGCAATAGCTCTTGCATGGAATAATTATTTGGAAAGCTCCAAAAGCCCTCTCATCTCAAGAGAAAATATGTGTAGAGCGCGAGTTTTTGACATCGAAAGAGCACTCTGCTTTTTCTTATTGCCAACTGAGTCCAAAGTAGCACTAGGCGATAAGATTTATCCTCTACTTGATCTATAGGCCGAGATGTAGATTGGTAGACAAAATACTTCATTATCAAAAAGTTTGAACTAACGAAATTGACGTATTGTGGTACGCATCGCTTCCATGTTTGAATTTGTTGCCCTGTTTAACCACAAATTCAGTTTGAGGATACATCGATGCATCGGGCGCCCTTAATATGTACAGTATATTTTGCTTTGCTGCGTCTATGCTTAAGTGCACATTTAAGATACCTACCCCAAAATGCGCATCAAAAGCATTATTTTTAACATTTATACGGAAACTGCTCCGATAGATGCATTCAACATACCTGCACATTGGCGATACCTGCCTTAAAAATTGTGCGACTAGTATCAATTATCAATGAAAGTATTACGTTTACCTGCACTGGCCCTACAATTACCTAGTTTTACAACCTTTTATTTATTTTGCTCATCTCGCAGAACAACGAAAATGGCTATCAATTTATGTAGCTATATAGATAATTAGATAACATTCGGTAAAAATTTCGCTTGCAGTAATTTCTACAAGGTAAGTGCTCCGCCAATATTTGGTTTCATAGGGATTCACATACCTTCCTCATTGAAGTAGTAAAGAAAATTCGCTTAAGTGCCTTTTTCGGTTACGTGCACAAGTTTTTCGTGCAAAGAAGGATGTGCAGCTAAGCAAAATATACTGTATTTGTTTTTTCAATCGATTGTCTCATGACTCTTCGCATCGCCCTAATTGTTAACGTTTGAAGATCATGAATACTTCTTTATCTGATACCCGTACATAGACTCGATTCCACTGTAAGAATAATATTTGGCTGCATTGGACCAGATTGTACTGAACCTTGAAAGAACCCTCTCCCCGGCCATCTCCTCTCCTTAGGTCTATCTCTTCCTTTTTTTTCATATTTTTCCTAGTGGAGTCCAACGCTGTTAGGCGAGCCTTTGAGTAGTTTGACAAAAGTAACGACCAACGCAGTATCATTCGCTAGGAAGAATCTTGAATTGTAAAACTCCGACATACATAACTTATACATATTTGAGCTATAGAGCATCCTCGTGTGAAATGCTGCCGCTTAGTTCTGCCTCTTAATAACCTACTTCGGTTTTATATAATAAATAAAAACTATTCGATTAACCGCTGGAATTCGTCTAACTGTTCACTTTCGACTGATCGAGTAGTATGAAAATCGACTAACCGAAGTTATTAAAATAGTGATGGTTTTTTACAATAAAATTATTTTTATGCGCGGTTCGGTTTTGTCCGTTATGCATAAAGCTGCCTTTACACGGGCCGATTTCTGTCGACTGGAAAATCGACGGAGAAATCGACTAGCCAAATCTCTTACATTTTACGATTGAATTGCTATTTACATAGGTCGATTTTGGTTCAACGATAAAAATCGACTAGCAAATCGACCCGTGTAAAGGCAGCTTAAGCATCAAAAACAACTAGTCGAAAAATCGAAAATGAACGGTTGGTCGACTAGTTGTTTGTGAGCGGTTAGTTGCAAAAGTCTACTAAGTCAAGTCGACTTATACCACATACCGCTAATTGCTTTTCGTGCCACCGCCTACACTGTGAACTTCGTCTTAGCTTCTCGCAAGTATTATTTAGTACTCTCTCTGGTCTTAACGGGGCAAGCTGCACGTTTTTCTATACGAAATAAAATATTCGAAATTTTACGAAAATACTGAGCGAACGTTGCTGTTATTGTTTTTCTGTTTTTTCGTGACTATTCTTCTTATAAGCGGGTCCAAAAGAATTCGATTGGCCGTTGTCGCACATCTCTACATAATACCATAGAATGTCTTCTATGTAGGGATGGTAACAGTTACAAATTTTATTAAAAAAATCAATATTTAACAATTATTCTTTGACTTTTATTTCATTACTCTTTAAATAACAGTTTTTTCTGATTTTTATTTTATAATTCCAAAATAACAATTATTATCGATTTTTATCTAAATAATCGGCAAATAACAGTTATTTTTGATCTTTAAATTATATATCTTAGATAACAGTTACTGAAGGCTTTTATTTATAAAAGTCATAAATATAAATCAGTCACTGACTTTTACTTTTAAAATCGTACTTATAAAAGTCATTTGTATAAGTCGTGGTAAACTTTGGCTCTTAAACTCTTTCTTAACTGCGAATAATGATAATGACTTTTATACGTATGATTTAAAAAATAAAGTCGCTGACTGATTTTTATTGATGACTTCTATAAATAAAAGTCTTCAATAACTGTTACCTGAGACATATAATATAAAAATGAAAAGTAACTGTTATTTACAGATTATTTAGATAAAACACAAAAAAAAATTGTTATTTTACATTTGTAAAATAAAAATCAAAAATGATTGTTATTTTTTTTTAGTTTTACATAAAAAGTACAAATAAAAATTTATTTTCAAATATGATTATCGGTAAAAAAATAAATCAATTGGTATGTGTCACTTAGTTGAAGAACATTTCGTTCATAGTGAATTTTTCAATGACAGTTTTCATCAATAACTGTTATGTTCGGTCCCTGTTTCTATGTACATATGTATAAATATGCTTATGTAACGGGTGATTTTTTTGAGGTTAGGATTTTCATGCATTAGTATTTGACAGATCACGTGGGATTTCAGACATGGTGTCAAAGAGAAAGATGCTCAGTATGCTTTGAAATTTCATCATGAATAGACTTACTAACGAGCAACGCTTGCAAATCATTGAATTTTATTACCAAAATCAGTGTTCGGTTCGAACGCTTTTTTATCGACAAATTTTGTTCAGCGATGAGGCTCATTTCTGGTTGAATGGCTTCGTAAATAAGCAAAATTGCCGCATTTGGAGTGAAGAGCAACCAGAAGCCGTTCAAGAACTGCCCATGCATCCCGAAAAATGCACTGTTTGGTGTGGTTTGTACGCTGGTGGAATCATTGGACCGTATTTTTTCAAAGATGCTGTTGGACGCAACGTTACGGTGAATGGCGATCGCTATCGTTCGATGCTAACAAACTTTTTGTTGCCAAAAATGGAAGAACTGAACTTGGTTGACATGTGGTTTCAACAAGATGGCGCTACATGCCACACAGCTCGCGATTCTATGGCCATTTTGAGGGAAAACTTCGGAGAACAATTCATCTCAAGAAATGGACCGGTAAGTTGGCCACCAAGATCATGCGATTTGACGCCTTTAGACTATTTTTTGTGGGGCTACGTCAAGTCTAAAGTCTACAGAAATAAGCCAGCAACTATTCCAGCTTTGGAAGACAACATTTCCGAAGAAATTCGGGCTATTCCGGCCGAAATGCTCGAAAAAGTTGCCCAAAATTGGACTTTCCGAATGGACCACCTAAGACGCAGCCGCGGTCAACATTTAAATGAAATTATCTTCAAAAAGTAAATGTCATGGACCAATCTAACGTTTCAAATAAAGAACCGATGAGATTTTTTTTTTTATGCGTTTTTTTTAAAAAAAAAGTTATCAAGCTCTTAAAAAATCACCCGTTACATAGCTATTTATGATCAACCCATATCACTGAACAGCTGCAGCATCAACTAAAAAGGTGCTAATTCCAGCAGTCACATTCGGCGGTCATTTTGCGTCAAACACCCGTGCGGAATAGATTAAAATTTATAAAGTAAACATTTGTTTGGCATGCCAAGATTGTACTAAAAAATTATTAAATTTTAGTTGGTGTTAAATGAAAAAATGTCAATACATATCGAAGCGTTGACGCAATGTGCGCCTCTGCTGAAACTGTCCAACAAGCATCGCCACCACAAGAAAAAAAATGTTAGCGTCACATTTCGTCAGTGATCAAAGGCACGAATTTTATTTACATTTCATGAAAATAAAGAAATCGATAACAAATGAAATCAAAGCCAGCATTTGGTGGTAATATCTACTTTTGTGTAACATTGAGTTTGACAA